CCAGAAGCACATCTAGGGAAAATGCAAAATACCCCTCCCTCCTTCGTCACTGCGCCAAAGGTTTGTTAGGGAAAGTGGTAATCCGTGAGCTGGGCCAATCATTAACACCTTACGCCAAGGTAATTATACCTCACATCTTATAGTTCGGATTGAAATTGTATTTATTCCATGATTCACTCAACAGGTTACAATTCGATGTTCAAAATTAGAAGATGCTCAAACACTCCCCGATACCGTACCGTTACCGTAGTTAGCCTCAACAGCCTGGGTTGTTATAGTTCGTAGTTTCGGTGTTATCGCCTTCTTCAGGAAAACAAATGTTTCATTACGACCTTTGAAGCAGCCCCCACCTCTCCACACTCTCATCACAGCTTCTCCTCTTCATAGTACTTGTCCATCAATGAAGAATCTCTATGGTTTCAGCTCAGCTAGCGCCTTTTAGGACCTTGTAGTGCGGTTTAGCATGAGATTTCGTTTGATCGATAATGACTTCTTGGGAGGCGGAAATGCGGTGCGTGAGCACTGTCTGCTTGTTAGAACGCAAAACCGGAAAGGGGGCAGCCCAGACGGCCGAATTTCCTTCCGATTCTTTCCTCGTTTCGTCATGATTCTCTATTCATCTTAACGTGTTACTTTTCAGATGGGCTCCTGTCCATCGAATCAATGCTTTATCGAGAAGAAACCGACGGAAGAACGTGGAGTATTTCGGATAACAAAAGGTCAGTTGGTTTATGCACACCATAGTGTCGATAGCATATGTTGGATTTGCGGTTGTGGGGGTTGAGGTCAAGGCGGCAATAGCGCCACCTTCGTTCTTCCTCAGGCCATCGAACAGTTGGTATTTGTTGGTGCGCAAAGGTGACTAATGGCCCGTTCCGTCTAGAATCGCTACGGATTACACTGGACTAGTTCACCGCGGGAGGGGAACATTGACTAACCGTCTTTGAGAGCTTTTCGAGCCGTTGACTATGAAGAACATTAATCACGGCCGATTTCACACTTCACAGCCTCAAAACTTGCAAACAGCAGTTTTTCACACCTGGTCACTTCATTTGAATGTCTGAGGGGGAATTAAAACCTCATTTCATAGGATCATACGCTAGAACAGACGCGAAAGAACAGGCGTTGTTTTCCAGACATGTAGTCCACAACTTGCAGACTTTTTCCACTAGGTTTTCATTTATATTGGGCATGTCCTACCGATGGGGAAAATTTTGACAAAATGCGTCCCCGTCGCCCGAACTGAAGACCACTGCCTTTTCCTTACCCCATCCTACCTTTCCTCAACTTCCTATATCTTTTCCTGTTTTTCCAGCATTTCACTCACTCTTCCTTCAAAAGAAGCGCGCACTTGAAACCAGAAAAACCGAGGAAGTCGGCAACCAAAAACCTTTTTTCGAAAGCAGTTACGACCGTCGTGCCCCAGCTTCCAGATACGATGCCCCTGGCTGAGGATCTTTGTCCTATAAAGGGTTGGAAAAGTCAGGAATTCTCAGCAGCCCAGAAGTATAAGACATTCAATTTGGACTGTTTAGCGCTAGCCGTCGAGTTGGCAGCAAAAAGCTCACGAGAGAGCTGAAGACATTAATAAACTTACCAGTTCACTCATTCTGTAGAGGAGTAGCACGTTTTTCCGGCGCAGTTTGTCGACGGGGGGGCATTCCATAGATGTGCCGACCCATCTAGGTAGCCTTTTCTCGAGTTGACACGTTTTAGGATGGTGGCTAGACGATCTTGCTCCAGCTTCACAAGCGTTCACAAGTTTACCAGAGTGAGATTTGTAAACCGGAACTAGGGAAGCAATGGTAGTACAAAATGCCCCCCCTGTCGACAAACAGCGCCCGTTTCCCCCAAGAGCTGGAAGATAGACTCGTGCGCTCATGAAAGCCTATCCATTCTTTTGATGGTCAGCAGAATCAAGTATTGATATCAGGCTGCACAAGGAAAACATGAACGAGAAGGAGGGGGCTTGTCAAGGGTGGAGCGCTCTTCCGACCCAGTTTTGCAGGACTTGGAGGCACATACATGCATAGGAACCATGCTAGTCTCTTGTACATATCTGGCAATACCAAAGGAGCGAAAAATTGGTCTAGAAGGAACGTTGGCGTTCATCGGTCTGGAGGGGGCATTTTGCACCTTCTTTAGTTCCTTTTGTTGGCTCATGCTAACTAATCGGTCACTTTTGGCAGACCTGTAGGCTCTTGTGAAGCTGCGGCACAGTTTTAATGAGTCACTTATGTCACAGAAACTCGTAGGTTTTCTCAATGCGACCTGTACAGGCTAAGCTGAGTACAATCCAGTGCCCCCACGAAATCGAACTGCGCCTGGACATTCAAACCGACTTCTTTCCAGGCTTTGTCACGGTGCTGCGCTTCGTGCAGGAAACTTCCTAGGAATTATAATAGATCTCTTAACACATTACTTTTCTCTAGAATCACTACCGTATATGTAGCATTCCAAAAACTGCAATTGGTCAACTTTTTAGTTCACTGATGTATCATGATGGCCAAAGTGCACGCCATTCATTTGAAAAACTCCACAATAGCTTGACTAGTTTGTAAATTGCGTGCGGACGTTCCACTAGCATGGGAGGAAATTAGGAAAAAATTTTCTCGGGAACCTACCGTATTGGGTGGTGCGTCATGCATCTAAAAAACGAAGTCACTTGCTCAAAAAGCGCCACCACGCGTGGTGGGCGATGCGCTTGACGCAGCGTTTATACTTGGCGACAGAGCGGCTCAGTGGCGATACGATGTGGAAAGAATAAGACAGAAGAGTGTTTCCTAGTTAGTTGGCTTGACAGAACGCTTTATGTTGAACCTTCCGTTCCGGCTGCGAATCTCGTCGCAGAATCACCGATTCGTTGGAGCTCCGCGCAGCTTGGGACTAACCACATCCACAAATCCAGCAGCAGTTTGGTTGTTCTGCGATCAGGCAATTAAACAGCTAACGCTTAGGTGTGGGTAACTATTTCCAAAACCGAGCTGAGTTCAGGTTAGTTGAGTCGTTTTCGAGCAAATAGCGTTGACGGCAATCCCCACTCACCGAGTCCCGAACTCCAGAACTGAGAGACACAGCCGTATCGGAGACCGAGAAGAAGGCGAAGAGAGAGGGATGGGCGTTGGCGTCCAAAGCGTAGTGGTGATGCATACCGCAACTTTTAAGTTCGGAGGTAGTTCATTTCCTGCTCTATCTGAAAGTCTAAACAGCAGCGCTCAACAGCAGACTCCATCAATGACGCAAAAGGGGTTTACTGTTGGCTCTTGTACTAAGTTCCGGGAACAAGTGGGGTACCTGACTTCCACTCATAGTCGTGGCGTCCTAAATGAACTTTGTCTGCTTAGAACCCACTTTGCAAGCCAGCATTACTTCTCTCTCCGTCAACTGCCCTCTGCAGAATGTTTTTTCTTTTCAGGTTGCCTTCGAAGATCTCCACGAACTCTCCCGGGATGTGAATATGAGCATTTCGCCGATCATGTACTGTTGTGTAAAGTCATCGTAGGTTGGAATTCTTCGTTCTGTCCTCTAATCCGTGCTCTATGTACTGCAGGAAACGGTATGGCAAAGAGAATCTGTAGGTCGCCGCCACGCAGGCGTGTCGGGCGTGCGACGTCGCGCCTGCTAATGACGAGGATTTCAGGTGGTACTGGTCGAGAATAGAAAATGTATGACCAAAAATAGACATAGGTGTCCACCTTGTGCTTTTCTACATGAAGTCCGATGCTCTAATCAGAAAGTTGTGCAAATTAAGAATGTCAAAGCGGCAACTAGCGCCACCCACTGCAGGCGCAGACGAAGCAGGCAGCTTACGATGCTGTTTCCCGCTTTCCCTCAAAAGGTATCCTTCATCTTGGTTCCCTTCACCGTATTGTGGTGTCCTTCGAATAAAGGACTCTTGTCGTTTGAGTTGCTCCGTCGTGTAGTACGGTCTCGCCATAAGAGGATCAGCAAGCGTGGGCGGAGATGTGAGTGTGCAGAGTTACAGTCCTGCCATCATTGCGGACGCGGTGGGCATGTCGAGCCAATATGAGTGTGCACACTGTTGAAGCAGTTCTCACTTTTTTTGCTGAAACGTCGTATGCGACAAAAAGTGGTAGAAAACGAGTAATACGAAGGATATAATAATCGCTAATGTCACATTACCACGCTCAAAACTGATGTGCAGCAACGACTTGGCACCGGCGCGCAAACGCAGGACCGCACTGACACCCCCCACGGTCCGTAATGATGAGGACTCTACTTGACGCGGTGACTGCGGTGAACGTAAGTTGTTGGCTCTGCATACCGCAGAACTTCCAAGCTGTAAAATTTGCCAATTCAAATCATTTAAATCTCGGTGCTGGTGACTCACACTCGGCGAGACTATAAGGGGTATTTTGCATCGTCGCCGCAACATAGATCCGACCTACTGTCGCACCAGTCGGAATCCAGCTATTTCAGCACAGTTCGGCTTGGTACGGGGCACAAAATGGTGGAAAGCAGCAAGCTTGTACATTCCACCTTTCTGAAGACCGTGATTTGCTGTAACCAAGCGCGACACTCCTTCCATTCTGCTTCTTTACTCGAGTTTACAGTTCTTGCCAAAATGGGACCTGATAGGTTAACTTGAACCAGCAAAAGGTGCTCGAAAAAATGCAAAAATCCTACTCCCTTCAATGAACCAAACAGTATAAATCCTTCATTATATCTACTGCTGTAAGACCCTTTCCAGAGTATAGGGAAGGGTCCCTGGGCGAACATCGCGGAAATTCTATACTCTTGGGTTCGGGAGCTTCTTGTCTTGCCGGACTTCAAGGTTTAATTCCTGTAGTCGTTGAACCCCTTGCAAGGGAACTAGCACCACTAATTCTAATAAACCATTGCCTAAAGCCGTAAAGCTTTTTTTTGCACTCGTTCAAGACCAACTTCCAGGAGTTCAGGCTTATATGGGATACCTTTGTCGTAAAATTCACCGTAAACCATGACAACCAAGTGGTACTTAGTTAGAAATACTACCGGATTTTGAGCTCCTCGACAAACCCATATAATGTGATATACGACCTTCACGGCTACGTTGTTAAGGCAGAACCCAAGCACTTCCCAGAAAATGAGATAGAGCTAATTTCCTAGGGATGCTGGTTTTGGGGAGTTGTTATCGCTCTTATGAGCGAAGCGGTTGTACGAACACCACTCTTTAACGCCCTAGAGCGCATCTTGGATCGGATATTGTATGGGTGGACATTCGAAACATTTCGGAACTCCTTGAACGCCCTAAGCCGATCTGATCGCGCAGATTGTATGGGTGGAGATCCGAAACCATTTTGCCATTTTTATTGGTTATTAAAACCATTTCGCTGTCCTTCCACAATTTAATACAAAAATCTGCGCGCCTCTACTAACACATGTTTGGGTAGGTGCGGGAAATGCACGCTGCAGCGACGCGGCATTGCAAGTGGTGTCATGTGAGCGACACTCGCACCAAGACCCACTTCTTTCAACGTTATAAGGCTATGCTATGTCGAGTCAACCAGCTTAGAATTGTGGGTATCTGAGAACCACCGTAAGGCGGGTCCTCCGCACGACATACCTTTGTACACAAAAAGCAAACCTTATGGCACACATTCGTGACAACAAAAGGAGCCACATTACTGTGAGTCTATCAAATGGCCTACGTTTTTTAGGTCCATTTTGCAATGATCACATTTACATTCGCTCAATAGTTCGACGAAATGTGACTTGCCGAAAGTGCACTGAACGAGATCCAGACTGTGATGACAAGTGCCAGGGACAGTGGTGAGTCAACACGGAAAGTTCTTCGATTGGTAACTTGCGCCTTACAGTACTCCCTGAGTGCCAAATCTAATGCTTTCGGGCTGGATCTTTGTAGAGGTCATCCTCACCTTTTCGCGACATGCTGTGATAATTATTTTCCATCTAACTACTCCAGCTAGCTCACTCGCATTTTCATAGGCATATTCCACTCTGACCATATTGGTGGACACACCTTAAAAATGCATTGCCCGATGGTGCCTCCTCTCCTTCAGGTACACCAAGGGTTGATACTGGATATGATACCTCTAATGCAGCTTGCAAATGAGATTCACAAAAAAATCGCAGTCGTATTTAAATA